ATGATGATTCGCACACATGGAAGCGCATGCTAGATGTTCGAGCCGTGGTTGAGCCTGTGATTCGATGGCGTGTACTCTCTGGCACGTCTAACTTCTGGTGGGATACATGGTCTGGACTGGGTGCCTTGCATCGCCAGGTCGATGGCTGCAGTGGGTACTGGACTGATGGAGTGGGTGATATGTATCGCTCTGATTTTATGATTGACCATGATGCTCTACCCCCTGATTTATTACGGCAGTTGCGCCTTGAGCCTCCATCTCTTGTTTCTGATCATGTGGATATTCCGGTCTGGACCCCGTCTACGGATGGGAAGTTTACTCTTGCTTCTGCTAAGGAGCTTCTTAGACCGAGGAGGAATGATGAAGTGGAGGACACTGTGCTTAAGAGGTGTTGGCAGAAACACTTACCCTTTAAGATGTCCAGTCTAGCATGGCGCGTTTTGGAAAGGCGCCTTCCCACTGATGATGTCCTGGCGAGATTTGGCTTTGCATTGCCTTCTCGGTGTTTATATTGTTCGCCGCCAGGACGGGAGACCATTACACACATTTTCTATCATGGGAGCATGGCACGGCGTGTTTGGACTTATTTCACACAGTCTGCCCGTATCCAGGGCACACATCACAGTTTGAGGTCCGTCTTGAGTAGATGGTGGGCGCAGAGGCCGAGGAGCAGGATGCTCTCGTTCCTGTTCCACCACCTGCCGATGATCATTCTTTGGGAGATTTGGACACACTATGCTGCGTGCAAGTATGGGGATGCTCGACCCAACTTTGCACGCATTATTTTTCGGGTGGCTACGACGGTGTCGGAGTGCATCTATCGTCGCTGGCCTAGCGGGGGTCTCTTGCCTCCCCGATGGTCGGTGATCATGGAGCATGTTCGATGAGGCTCTGGACGCAGGAGGGTGGTGCCGATTCGGTGGGTCCCACCGCCGGGTGGCACCATCAAGGTGAATGTGGCGAGGGCCCCGCTTCGTGGGGCATATGCAGCGATCGTGCATGACTCGACAGGTAAGTTTCTTTATGCTCTCTCTTCTATTGCATTCAGGTGGGAACCAGTGGAGCGTGGAGGGATGGACGTGCTGCTTCGGTGTATTCAGTGGTGTATATCCCAGTCATTCTTGCGTATCCACGTAGAGTCCCATCATTCAGAGTTAGCTTGCTTCTTTAGAGAAGGTACCCCGTGGTACCTTCATGATGTTTATGCTAGACTGCGTTTCCTCTTTTCTATCGCGACGGTCCAGTGGTTTCATTGTGACGTGCGGGCGAATGCCCCGACGATTGAGTTGGCATTTTGGGCCGTGGATAGTACAGAGGGGACGCGAGAGTTTACTAATCTGCAGGATCTTGACATTCGGGTACAATCTCTCCTTCCTATGGATGATCTGCCCTTCTTTCGCATAGACGAGGATGGGGGTAACCCCTAATTGCACTGATTTGGGTGCCTTAACGACCGCGTCTGCGGTTAAGAGGCGCACGTATGGACCCGCGGTTAAAGGGTGCCCGTTGGTTCCCGCGGTTTGGGGCCACGTGTTGTACCGACGGTGAACGGTGCCTTTGCGAGATGACGGGCGTAGTTTCGCAGAGTTTCTTTCGTCCCCGTCGACTCCTGCGGCTCTTGGGGTACGTAGGTGCTAGCGTCTGAGGTTTTAGCGCCCGTAGTTTCCAGCGGTATTTGGCATCCTAGCCCGGGCAGAGGTGGCTGTCCGGTAAAGGCTTATCCATCTCGCACTTCATCTGAGTGCCTTAACGACCGCGCCTGCGGTCAAAAGGCGCACGTATGCGTCCGCGGTAAAGGATGCCCGTCAGTGCTTGCGGATTGTGTATTTGAGCACCCGTGGCGCACACGGAAAGTGCGTATGCGTGGTACCGTCATCAAATCGGTGCCCTCATTGGGAGGCTAGGTGGGGCCCGACGAGGTTTCTTCCGCCTGCATCAGTGCTTGTGCGTGAGGTGAGAGCACCCGCGTTCTGTCGGCGGTAATGGGCTAAGGGCTGGCCACTGACCCATAGTGGTACCTCTTCCTTCCTTCTCCATTTCTCTTGGGATTTCCTCTCTTGGATTCTCTTCACTTTACATCTTCATCATTGTGGATTTTGGACTTTCTTGAGACTGCTTCACTGGTTATTTTCTTGGATTTTGGACTTTCTTGGATTTCTACACGGCTGGACTACTTGGATTTGGTTGGGTTGAGACTTCTAGTTGGGTCGTGGCATTGGCGTTGGGCTTCGAGCTTCACGGATGGGCTGCTCACCTTGGCGGATTGGACCGATTTCTGCACTTGGGTTGGTCGTTGGGCTTCATGGTTGGACGGCCTGGTGCTGGGCTTGGGCTAATTTGGACGGGCGCTGGGCACGGGATGGATGACTTGGACTGGGCCGGTGGCTTATTTGGGCTGACTTGTTGGAGAGTTTGGGCTTCTTCATTTGGGCCTCATTGATTGGGCTGATATTTCTCATTCTTTGGGCCTTCTCAGTTTGGGCTTCTCATGGCAATTGGCTTACATTATGGGCTCTTCTTTGCTCACTTGGATTATTTTGCACGTTCTATTTTTTCCTCATTTTAGCTAGGCTTTGATGGATTTAGACTGGACCTAAGTCGATTGCATTTCTTGGTTCATAACATTTCTTGATCTGGATTATCTGACCTTAGGCCTTACCCTTGCGGGGGTTGAGGCTCCGGGAATGATTTTATTCCTAGATCTAAGTGGAATGATGTCGGCCGACTTTGTAGTTTCACTTAAGTCTATGTCTCCTATATCTGATAAGCGCTTTGCATTATAGTTATTTGGTTGTTGTTTACTTATTATACAAGTGTGGAGCCTGTTCCCGCTTGTTCAGACGTTTGTATTCTTTGATTATTTAATAATATGCGAAAAATTTAAAAAAAAAAGTTGTCTTCCCTTTCCTTTTGGAACTAGAGGAGTCAAACCCAAGTCCTTTGCGACCCTTATGTTTGGTCGTTTCAAAAAAAAAGTTGTCTTCCCTTTCCTTTTGGAACTTCTTCTTGGGACTTGAGTATCCCTAGCTCTTTGTTAAGGGATTTCACCTTTTCAGAGAGAGATTCATTTTCAGTCTTGAGTTGAGTGATCTCATTCAGTTGACTTTTCCGACTTTCAGTCAACTTGAGATTCTCTTCACTCAATAGTTTGTTCTCTTCTGTTAAGGATGTGTGTTTGAGATTTATCTCCTCAAAGTCTTTCATCATCTTTTTGAACTGGTCAAAAAGATTTTCAGAAGTTGGTGTGCTATAAGAAGATGAGCAGGAGGTTTGTGAGGTTACCTCTTGATCAGCATCATCTTTGGCCATTAGGCAGA